ATTGGAAACATCAACCCTGAGAAACTCCTACAGAGTTGCCCTGGAGCTCAGACAACGACAAAGCCCAACTATTATAGAGCTCTTGTGGCATGTCCATACCTCTGTGCTGGGAGGCCCACCTGCTCCATAGGAGTGTAATAACATCTCTGGGCATGTTGATTAAAAAATATCTTGCTGAGTACAGTCAGTCACCACTCTTTACAAATACAGAGCTGACAGGTCAAACTTTTACGATATGCAAGGACATACCTCACTCTGCATCAATTTGGAGGTGATGTTACCTCACCGCACAGATCCATATCCATCCTCCCTCCCTTAATGTGTACCCTCCTCTCTTCCTTTTCCTCCGAGGTGTATATTGTTCCAATAGACTAACCCTGTGTTACCATTCCCTATGCTATCATATGACACAAGCCTATGTTACTAGAAGTTTGTTTGATGATTGTTGTACAAAACACATCAGTACAGTGTGGCACCTTGAAGTGCTCAGTTAGGTTTCCTCTTTCAACAACTCTGCTCAAATCTCTATTGCCTGTTCGCTCATTCTGCTTCAGCACAACCTCCTTCCTTTCATGTGCTATCTGGAGATGTGGAGATGTCTTTCAACTACTCCTCAATTATCCGCCAAAGTGAGAACACCTACTCAATAAAACTGTTCCAATACTCAGCTGACCTCATAATGAACTCCCACAGTCTGACTTAAATCCACCTTGCAGCCCAACATTACCATTTGTGTTGTTCTCGCCTTCATTCCCAATCCCAGTTTTTTCAGATCTGTGGATGTATGCCAAATTTGAGAACTCTCACATACCTGCTAATTACGGGAATGCAGTGGTGATGCTTAGATAGAAAATGTGGGATTTATACATGTATTATTTAATGGTATTACTGCACGTGTACATATATCAGCTTGAGCTAGTAACTGGTGTGTGTCTCAAGTTAAAAATTAACTTGCAAATATCTCTGTAACCATGGTGGTTTCTTTTAAAATCAGTTTCTGAAGCCTGATTGAATTTTGCGTACAACTGGACTTTTGTTTATTTCAGATAGTTTGCAGCCCAGCAGGGTAAATAATTTAGCCTTAAATAGAATTTCAGAATTTTTTTTAAAGCTTGCGGGAGGTACCCTTGGCTGAGCGAAAGATTTGAATTTCATTTTTAACTTTGGGTAGTGTTTTAGTCCTGTGAAGACCTTGGTACTGCATAGAGCAGTGTTCCTGAGAAGAGAATGACAAATTTAGTGAATTAGATTACCTTGGAGTTAGTGTCAATCTCAGACCAAAAGTGTTGGAATAAAATCCCAGCAGTGGCTATTTAAACTGAGTGCTCCAGGAAGTAGCTATCGCAGCTCCAGTTTGAAAATTAAGTCCCTAGTGACTTCAACCTGCTGAGGTATTAGACACAGGGATAATGGTGTGAGTGGTGTTTTGGATACTGTTCCAGGGATGTTTAGTATTCTGTACAAAAAAGCAGTTTTGTTTCATTTTGATTCATAAAGAATTGTCTTGGATTTATACTTTTACCATATGTTTAATATCTGTGAATTTGTCTTACTAGTAGATGGTATGGATTGTTTTATTTTGTAATTATTCTATTCATTTTTGGATACACTTTCTTTTGTTGTTAAAACAAAATATGCAACATTGCACGTTTATCATTTAGAGAGAGAGAGAGAGAGACTACTCTGTTAAAACCAAAGCAAATAAAATTATGATCTATCAAGTCAGTTCCTGTGTGGGATCTGAGTTGTCCAATAATACCACTAGCTGGGATCGCAGAAATGTTACTGAACTGTCAATGAATCAATGATTATGTTAGTGGACAGCTAATTCCAAACAGGCTGATTTCAAATCCTGCATCAACAATTGGTAAACTTTAATTTTTAAAACATCTGGTTGTAGGAAATTGGTCTTAGAAAGTGACCATATGTAAGTGTCATTAAAAAGCTTCTAAAGACTTTTGAGAATCACTGCACCCAGCTGTTGTAGCCATTGCTGGGATTTTATTCCAACAATTCTTGTCTGGGATTGACAGGTAATCTAATTTATCATTCTCTTCTCAGGAACACTGCTTTATCCAGTACCAAGGTCTTCACAGGACTAAAACACTACCTAAAATTAAAAATAAAACTCAAATCTTTCACTCAGCCCCCAAGCTTAAAAAAATAGATTCCAAAACTCTATCCAATCTTTAAGGCAAAATTATGTACCATGTTGGGTTGCAAATTATCTGAAATAAAATCTACTTGTGCACAAAATTCAACCACTCTACAGCCAGGCTTCAAAAACTGACTTTAAAAGAAATTACTGTGGTTACAGAAATACTTACAAGTTAATTATTTTGAGAAAACTGATAACTTCACCGGGCCAAGCTTTCATGTGACTTGCTCCATACTGCCCTCTGAAGAGGCTCAAAAGCCACTCGGTCATAAAAAACCAATAAGAATACAAAATAGGAGCAGGAGTAGGCTATTCAGCCCTTCAAGCCTGCTCTCCCATTCAATTCGATCTGTAACTGGTTGCTAACCAGCAATGACCTGTATCTTGTTACCTACAGAGTCTCTTCTAGTTAGACCAGAAAATGGTTTTCCTCTTCCACATTGGATCAAGCGGACCCTGTAGTTTCCTATTCTTTAAAGTCAATGGCAGCCTTTGTCAAGGGCAGCAGTTCAGGCTGTGTTATAAGCTAATACGCCAATATACCAAACGCCAAGAGATAGGTTAATGTTTCACATAAGGTCTCCCTCAGTGAAACAAAGGGGTCAACTCACTCTGATCAACTTGCTCTGTATTTTCAATTCGGTGAGTTATTAATGAGCCTGTAGCAGGTGGTTTCTGTGAACGATTGAGCTTTTGATTGTAGATTACCTACCATTTCGGACAAGTTTTGACCAGAACATAAATTGGGAAGAACTTCAGAAAAAATGTCCCTGGTAAAGCTTCAAGATATAGCAGTTTTTTAAAAAATAAATGTACTGACTTTGCTCTCCAGTGACTGCACAGATTGCACAACTATAAGCCCCCTATCTCCTTAAACCTCACCCTTTACTGTTTTGACACCATTCTTATTTCTGGTATGTAACACTCATTTGTATCTAGTTTTGATTTCTATATTTACGTACTGTCCCATGGCAGTATGTTAACCCCTTCAACTGATTCATGTCTGCTCCTTCAGATCAAGTTTCGTCTTCATTTCCTGTGCCTCTGGTTTGGAATAATTTTACAAATTTATAAAATACAAATTTTCCAGCTTGCCTTGAACATCCGGATCCAGGACGTTAATGAAGCTGATGGAATGTTACAAAGTACCCAATGTTTTCACTAAGAGCCCATGGCCCCTGGTTTGTGTTTGATGTGGGCAAGGTATGAATAAAAAGGGCCTTCCATGAACTCAGCAAATTTGTACAGAGCAAGATCCCAGTGTGGAGGTCAGGATCAGATAACCTGCCTCCGTGATGTTGCTTCAGCAATAAATATCAGCCAATCGGTTAAATCCACATCAGGGCAGCACAGCACTCCTTCAGTAATGCCCCAAAATGTGAGCCTAGTTTACATGATCATACCTCAAGAGTGGGACTTCAATGCACAATCTTCTGACACCCAGGTTAGAGTGCAATCCACAGAGCTACAGGTGACCTTTAATAAATGGAGTGCATCCCAACCCACATCCCAGCTGGGCTGACTCTGCTCAGAGTAAAATTCCAAGTTTGCAGATTTAACCCATACATTAATGCTGGTGTTCCATGAAATCAAACAGCGTGGTTTTTCCTTTCTTTGGGGGCGTTCTTCTCCTGATAAGATCAAGGATGTTCTGGAGATTTATTTTGATTTCTTGAAAAACCTAAGAAAACAAAAACATAGCAAACCCTTAATAGGCCCGAAGAACATGTAGGCTGTTTGCTATTGTCTCGCCTCTCTAATCTAATTCCCCTCCCATAGAGACAATCAGAACTCCCAATGGGAATTTCCTTGGACTTTGTCCTGCTCTCCAGTGGAAATTTAGAGGAAACTAAAGGAGGCTTCTGTCAACATTATCAAAGCAGACAGAAACTCCGCAAGGAAAATTCCAGCGCTGGTTCCAAAGTTTTGGCAGGAATTCCAAGAGACAAAGAATCCAAACTTATTAATTCAATAATACAAGTCCTAGAAAGTCATGTGAGACTTTGCCTAATGTGAAACCATCTACAAATCATTACTGGTTCTGACAGAAATAATCAAGTTAGACCAGTCTTGGATTGAAAGGAGTGCAGGGAGAGATAACACAGAAAGGTAACTGAGTTAATAAATGCAATTGGGCACGAGAACAACAAGAAAGATTCTAGATAGTTAGAGTTGTGTCAAGAGAGGGAAAAAAGTGAGAATATGTAGAAAACAATCAATGGGGAAATAGTAGTGTGAGTGCTTTCGAATTTTCTGATGTGGGGGTGCTTGTGAAGGATTGGGGTAGATAAAGTCAGAAATCACACGACACCAGGTTATAGTCCAACCGGTTTATTTGAAATCACAAGCTTTCATAGTGCTGCTCCTTCGTCACTTCAGCTAATGAAGGAGCAGTGCTCTGGAAGCTTGTGATTTCAAATAAACCTGTTGGACTATAACCTGGTGTCGTGTGATTTCTGACTTAATTTCCTCATGTAGGAAGAAGGATGTTTATGACATTGCGACATTCACTAAACGTTTGATTTTTTTTTCATATAAATTGGGTCCCTCTTTCTTTCAAAAACTGATCAGTCTGGCAATGCAACCCATCAGTTATTCTTATATTCCTACATGTTCATTGGATCATATGTAAACACTGGAATAGTTACTGATCAATGAGTGGCTCTAGACAACTGTTGGTCTGAATGATATTGAAGTTTTTAAGTTGATTCAGAGGATGTGGGCATTGCTCAACTTTTATTCCCCACTCTAGTTGCCCGAGATTGTCATTGACTAGGTTTTCACATGTATTACGTTCTAAATCAGACCCAAATAAAACAAACAGCTGCCAATTCATCCCAGTTTAGCAATTCTTTCCTTTATTGTGCTGGGTATCACTAACAGTCTCGTTTATTGATTATTTATTTTACAATACTGCTTTCTCACATCAGTTCTTTGACTGAGAGGAGGTGATTTGATCGTGAGCAGACACAGCAACTGATTCGTAGTGTTATAAGTGAATAATAAATAATACTCTATTGACACACAGACATCACTGTGGCAACACCAGAATGTGAAGGGCTGAGAGTAATGGAGTTCCACTATATCCTCAGCCACTCACCTGTGTTTGCCCAGACACACACACACACACACACAGATCCACAAACACTTTCACTCACTGGTACAGACCTACCATCTAGCAAGACTAGAAAACGACAAACTAACACAAACACCACTTACTACGCGACAATACATCTTTGCAATGACCAACACAAGGTGGAGTGTGACAAGCTAATGGCACATCACAAGATTCGTACATCATTCACTGCTATCGATATTTATATATTTTAATTCAATAACCGTGAGACAAACTGAATGAAGCTTCAATTCTTTGTGCAGCGAGTCGGGAGCGATGTTGGAGGGGTCTTCCAAAACCTGTCAAAGATTTCAACGGCCTCAAGTCTCATGTTGATGTCTTTCTGTCAAAAGTAAAGCAAAGATAAGTGGAACTTAAGACAATAAAATAAATAAGTAATTAGTTCATTTCACATTCGTAAGCATTTGATACGTACTAAAAGAATATAAGAAATAGGATGTGAAGCTAGCCATCTGGTCCCCACTTTATCATTTCATCAGTTTTTTTCAAAATTCAGTCCAGGATGTGGGCATTGCTGACTGGATCAGCATTAAATTCCCATCCCTAATTGCACTGGAGAAAATGGCACTGAGCTGCCTTCTTGAACAACAGCAGTCCCTTTAGAGTAGGGATGCCCACAATTTCATTAGGGAAGGTGTTCCAGGATTTTGACCCAATGACAATGAGGGAATGGCTGATATATTTCTCAATCAGTGTGGTGTGTGGTTTGAGGAAAGCATGCTGCTGGTGGTGTTCCCATGCTGTCCTTGTCCTCATCAATGGTAGAAGTTGTGGCTTCAGAAGGTATGATGGAAGTTGCTGATTTTTCTATCCCAGCTACACCTTACTGCACAAAGCAGACCCAGACAACTACAGACCTGATAGCATCACATCAAATAAACACTTTGTTTATCAGCACAAAACATGGAGATTGTCTGTTTGAAAATCAGGTGCTAACAGCGACAAAAGAGGGTGATTATATTAGGAGTTAGTATCGTGAATTTTTTTTCACATTGCTCATCTAAAAGTGCTATCTCTTGCTGGGGCAGCAGTTTCATTATATTTCCAATGATTCTTCTGTTATCAGGATTTTGAATAGGAGTTGACGCAGGGATACTGTACTGCCCAGGTACAGACTGTGAAATTTATACTGCGAGAGAGAGATGGATTTGTTCCTGTTTTTTTCCATGAATTTGCAGCATAGAAACAGATCATTGGCTGGTCTTAATGCTGCACATGACCTTCCTGTCATTGTGTCCAATCCTATTGGGTATGTAACCTCTGCCTTTCTTCCTCATTACTTCCTCATCTCTGTTAGAGATTGATAGAGAATTAGAGTCTCATCACTCTCTGGGTGAAAATGTTTCTTTTCTGCTAATCTGGCTGAGCACATGAATATGAATTTATACATTGTACTAAGGCTGAGGATATTGAAGATGACAAACACAGTTCCTGCTTTATTTAAAAAAACCAAAAGAATTGCAGATGCTGTAAATCAGAAGCAAAAGCAGAAATTGCTGGAAAAGCTCAGCACAGCTCAATCCTCTCCCCAAGTCTGTACCTGACCTTTAACCCCCTGGGATCTAACCTTCTGGATCAGTCCTATATACAGCACCTTGTCAAATGCCTCTGGAATTCTAGATATACCACATCCATTTGTTCCTATCCTATCTTGCTTGTTACCTCCTCAAAGAACTCCAGCAAGTTTGTCAAACACAATGTGTCTTTCATGAAACCGTACTGACACTGGTGAATGGAGCTTCGTTTTTCTGAGTGTTCAGTTATCTCCTCTTCTATGATTGACTCCAGCAACGTCCCCGCTACAAGTGGTCAAACTAACAGCTCTATAGTGACAAAATTAGAAATTGCTGGAAAAGCTTAGCAGGTCTGGCAGCATCTGTGGAGAGAAATCAGAGTTAACGTTTCGGGTCAAGTAACCCTTCCAGAGAACAGTTCTGAGGAAGGATCACTCAACCCGAAACGTTAACTCTGATTTCTCTCCACAGATGCTGCCAGACCTGCCGAGCTTTTCCAGCAATTTCTGTTCCAACTTTATTTAGTTTTCTGAATAATGCTGTGTTATAGAATTGTAGAGTCCCTATAGCACAGATAGAGGTCATTTGGTCAATTGAGTCCGCACTGACCCTTCAAACAGTATCTCGCTCACACCCACACCCTGTACCATATCCCCAAAATCCACCTACCCTATCCATCTCTGGACACTATGGAGTAATTGAGCATGGCCAATACACCCAACCTGTACATCTTTAGAGTGTGGGAGGAAACTGGGTCACCTGGAGGAAACTGGGAGCATGTACAAACTGTCCGCACAGACAGTCACCCAAGGCTGAAATTAAAACCAGGTCCCTGGTACTGTGAGGCAGCAATGCTAACTAGTGTGGGAGGTGGGAGGGGGCATCATGTTTAACATCTTGTTTGAAAAATGGAATTCCACCAGCGTCCTCTGGATTGCTTCTCTCTCCCCGTCCCACCTGGTCTCCACCTTACTCCACCTGGGCTTGCATCTTCTGTGCCTCCCATCACCTCCCCCCCCCACCCCCCACCACTGTCTGACTTAAAGATTGTCCAGGGAATTGGGATCATGCTGGCTCGGCCATTTTGCTGTGAATAGTGGCGCAGAAACCAGGAGAAGATGGTGCCCAAAAGCAATGCTAGACAGTGAGGTGCTTCAGCAGAGTGTAGATCTTACATGTTTGGTACTGATCAGTTCTCCACTTTGGCTGCTGCTTCCGTTGCTGTGAACAAAGAGAAAGAAACAACAAGGTTTAATGTGGCATGATGAAAATGCAGTGAAGGAGGAGTAAATAAAATCTTCAACTGCATTCCACTGACTTTCCAATCCACGCCATTCCTCCCCACTCCTCCCCAACTCAATATGCATTCTTCAATTCCAGTGAATATTCAAAGCATATTTGAAGGCAGATATTGGACAATACTTTGTCTGCCAGTCTCAAATTAGATCTTTGTAACTTCCTCCAGCCCCACACTAATGTGGCTGACTCTCAACTGTCCCCTAAAATAGATGAGCAAACCATTCCAGTCAAGGGTAATAAATGTTGGCCCAGCCAATAGCACCCACATTCTATGAATGAGTTAAAAAAAAAACCAGCCAGCTTTGTTAACTTCTAAAAGTGGGGAGAATATGGAAAGTTGTACATTTGAGGCCTATAGGAATAAGGCTGGAGTACCACTGAGTTTCCATTTGGAGCTCCATCTAATTAGCTATCAGGAGCAGGGAAGCTATAACTTCTAGAGTTCTCCTGCTTTTCAAAATGGAATGCACTGCCTGTATGATGGAGGCATTTAAGAGGGTATTGGATGAGTATTTGTATAAAAATACTATGAAAGGCTATGAGGAAAAGGCAGGAGATTGGCACGAGGTAATGATGCTCATTTGAAGATCCAGTGCAGGCACAATAGGCTGAATGGCCTATGCTATTCTATAACTGGTCCCTTGAGCATCCTTGATTTTAATCACTTTGCTATTGGCAGCCGTGTCCCTCTGCTGCCTCATTTCTAAGCTTTGGAATTCTCTCCCTAAATGTCTCCGATCCTGTCATTCTCTAGCGTGCTGTTTAAATCTAAGCACTGAGCTTTAGGTTAGCTGTTCCAACAGCCCTTTATGTCGCTTCATGTCAATTTCTGTTAGAGAATCGTTCTTGTGGAATGTTTTGCTATGTCAAAGGTGCTACACAAATGCAATCTGTTGTTGTACTCTGGTGACTGCCACTATACAATCAAAATTCAATGGCCTCTATCTGTACTGTAGGGACTCTACAATTCTACAATACACAGCACTGTTCAGAAAACTAAATAAAGTAGGGACAGAAATTGCTGGAAAAGCTCAGTAGGTCTGGCAGCATCTGTGGAGAGAAATCAGAGTTAACCTTTCGGGTTGAGTGATCCTTCCTCAGAACTGTTCTCAGGAAGGGTTACTTGACCCGAAACGTTAACTCTGATTTCTCTCCACAGATGCTGCCAGACCTGCTGAGCTTTTCCAGCAATTTCTGTTTTTGTCACTACAGACCACTTCAAGGATTCACAAATCAGAAGGACAGCATTATAACAAAGCTCCAACCAGAGCAAAGCCATCTTATTAAAAATACTGGACGTGCTCAAGAAATGAAACCTTCATTGGGGCAACAATCAATCCCTTTGTCAAATATTAAAGCCTTCCCTGTGGGTGGTGACTGAATCTCTGGCACAATCATGCTTAGAGCTTTATTTCTGCAGAGGGCATTTCAAGTGGCATGACTGCTGCTTAGACCTGGCTAAGACTAGAATGGCACATTTTCTGTGCATGTTGGAATCTGCAGCTGTGCATGTTGAGGGAAAGGCTCCGTTTCTTTCTGTTACATGGCTGGTCAGGAATCTCTCCCATTCTTACCCCCTGCCATTGGTGTGTGAGTGAAGGAGTCACAGCTTAGCACTCAACGTGATTGGTCGCTCATAAATGCAACTTCTGTGGCCATTGAGTCCTGGAGTGGGATCAAACCCAAATGTTTTGATGAATCAAGGGACAATAGTTACTGCACCATGCAGTCTCCTCTAGGTATGTCTGTCTCACCTTTGTTGGTGATCAGTGTTTCTGCCTGGGCCTCCTCATCATTGGGAGATCTGAAGGGAAAGAAAAGAATGCAAAAAAGCTGTTAGAACACTCAACATACTCATTCATCTTCTCTTAGGAAATCTATTTATTTGTTGCGTTTATGAAGTTGTCAAATTCAGCACTTCCCACTATTGGGACAGCACAGGGTTAGATACAGAGTAAAGCTTCCTCTACACTGTCCCCATCAAACACTCCCACTATTGGGACAGCACAGGGTTAGATACAGAGTAAAGCTCCCTCTACACTGTCCCCATCAAACACTCCCAGGACAGGGACAGCACAG